TCACTCAACCTCCCGCTTACAATGGGCTAATGGCTCCCCCAGCCCCAACATGATAAAACCTCTGCTTCCTTCTGCCTGGCAGACCAGGCCCTTTAAGTTGGGGGGCCCTGACCCATCCCCAGAATCTCGCCAACTGCTGTCCAAACTACCACCCTCTGCCTGCAGGAGGGCCCCTGTCTGCAAATCCTTGTTTAAAATGGTAAAGAAGACTTTATTCAAGGGGGTACCATCATGGCAGGGATAGGGACCACTGCAATGGGGTCGTGTAGTTGCGGGGAGAGAGATTGGGCTCAGCAGATGGAAAATTACTGAGGAAACATCAGGGGTGAGGAGGATTCTGGTGAAATGGACCTAACAGGATTCTTGCTAAAGGCAGGCCAGGGTGGTCAGACATCAGCTGGGGGATGGTGGCGGGTGAGGAACCCGATTAGGTATTGAGGGTGATCAGATATGGAGGGAGGGGGATTCTGCCTAAACTGACTTGGCAGGATTCTTGCTAAAATTAGACAACACAGAGATGAACATGGAAGTCCAAAAGTCGAGGCCCAGTTGAAGAAGAGCTCAGAGGGGCTTAAGTTGACAAAGAAGACTCTCTGTCACCTCTATGTTCAGAGGCAGATGCATACTACGTTACCTAAATGTGGTATGCCTCTGCTTTTTTTTTTTTTTTTTTTTTTTTGCGGTACGCAGGCCTCTCACTGTTGCGGCCTCTCCCGTTGCGGAGCAGAGACTCTGAACGCACAGGCACAGTGGCCATGGCTCACGGGCCTAGCCTAGCTGCTCCGCGGCATGTGGGATCTTCCCGGACCGGGGCACGAACCCATGCCCCCTGCATTGGCAGGCGGACTCTCAACCACTGCGCCACCAGGGAAGCCCTGTGCATCTGCTTTGAATGAACTGGAGATGACCCACTCATGTTGTTGCCTCCAAATTAACTCATTTTGGTGTAGACTTCAGAAATGGTATTTCCGTGCATTTGAACTTATCATACATGGGTCATCAATACAGAAGGCCATAGCTCAGAGACTGTTGTTTTAAAAATTAGGCTTGGGCATATCCATGCCCATGAAATTACACAAGGGAGCACAGGACGTCCCTCCTTAGTTAGCTCTGAGTATCAGGATGTGCTTGACACTGTACCACCCCAGCAGATGACAGAAATTAACTGTATGCAAAGCAGATCAAATACTGTGATTATCATTCATGAGTCTCATTGTATATTTGACGCTCATTAAAGCAGACTGCACCTTTAAAATAAAAGTATACAGAAGTCACACTATGTCCATACACAATGGATGCTAGGCAGCTGGCAAAATGCATGGGACTATAAGAAACAAGAAGGTACAACCTAGCAAAGTGCCAAACATTCTCCACTTACAGGGAAAAGGCTATCTCTACATACACACGAGTATCCATATGTGTGCACTTACACATGAACAGCACTTTTCTAGACGGACATACTTAGTAGTGGCTTCCTCCGGGGTAGAGGCATTGAAGGATTGGGGTAGGAGACTCACTTTTTGTTCTAAGCCTTTTGTATTGTTTGAATTTATTACTGTGTATATATACAGTATTCCCTTTTTAATTAAAATGTTTTTTAAGTGTAACTTACACTTAAAAAAACATGTTACCAGTTTTATATATCAGTGCCCTGCCTTAAGATTTTGTGTGAAAATGTAAAGATTATGTTGCCAAAGAAGCTTGACAAATGCTGAGCTAGTCTAATTGCCTCCTGCTGCAGATGGGGAGCTGGAGACCAGAGAGGCTCTTTTTCTGCCCAGGCTCTTTCTGTCTGGAGAAAAGGCACCCAATTTTCTCGAAGTTTTATTCAGGGGGAAAAAAGGCAATGCTTATCATAAAGGAGCTTACTGCTACGGGAGGAGTTTATAAGACATCTGGAGGGAGGGGATGTTGGGGACTGCCTGCTTGCAGAATGACTCAAATCCTAAAATGCCACCCAGTCATCTTCATGTGAGGCCACCTTGAGACTGTCACCCCTGTCCCCTGCTTTCAGAACATAAATCTTACCTCCCTCATTTGCAGTGGACTACTCTAATCAAGAATATTCCAGTCAGGACTTCCCTGGTAGCGCAATGGTTAAGAATCTGCCTGCCAATGCAGGGGACATGGGTTCGAGCCCTGGTCTGGGAAGATCCCACATGCCGCGGTGCAACTAAGCCCGTGTGCCACAACTACTGAGTCCATGTGCCACAACTACTGAGTCCATATGCCATAACTACTGAAGCCCGCTTGCTTAGAGCCTGTGCTCCACAACAAGAGAAACCACTGCAGTGAGAAGCCCTCGCATTGCAACGAAGAGTAGCCCCCGCTCATCGCAACTAGAGAAAGCCAGCGCGCAGCAACGAAGACCCAACACAGCCAAAAATAAATAAACTAATTAATTAAAAAAAAAAGAATATTCCAGTCAATTACACCACAATAAAGCTGAAATTTTTCTAAATTAAATTATTTTTAAGGATTATTCCTAACACAGGAAATTTCTGGTACTGGAGAGATGTTCAATAAATATTTACTGAATGAATGTAATCATCATGGAACCTGTAACTAATCAGGAGGGCTAATTTTTAGATGATTACTTTAAAACGTTAGAAAAAGCAAACAAAAGCTAAGCATAAAAGTATAAAAGAAAATCAACTATGATAAGGACAAAAAGACCATTTCTTTGTAATGTAAGACATTTATTTTGGTTACAGTTTTAGTGTTTTAACACTGATTTGTGATAGAACAGACATTAAACTTACTTTTTTTAAAACCAATTTAATACCTTCCCCTTTTCTGTCCAGAAAATTCACACTTTCACAATCAAATTACCCTAAAAGCTGACAGGAGGTAAGTAAAGCTTCCAAACAATCTGCTCTCCCAACCGGAGATGGCCTCTCTTTCCAATCAGGATAAAATCTTGACTTGGAAGGACCATCGTTGTTGGCTCTTCAGTGATTTTTGTGCAGGTTTTATGACAGAAAATTTCCTGCGAGAAAAGCTAATATGTTCACATTTTAAGATCAGTGCTTATTTCGATTAAAACATTAGCATCTTATCGTTAACTTGTGACACAAAAGGCACCAACATTCCTTTTCCAAGCATCCATCACCACAGGTGGAACACAACGCCACCTGCTGGTCATCATATTGTTACACACCCTATAATTTCCAGATGGCGGTCAATATCAATGCGGATTCTTAAAGAACCCCACGGTGTCAGAGCCAAAAGGGACCTTAGAGGTCTTCAAGTTGAGTCCCCTTGCTTGACAGATGGTGATTTCTGCTCTCCAGCTCGCTCAGAGTGGCAGGGAAACAGACCAGCCTGCGGAAGGTGTACTGCTTTAGAATCTAGAAGAAAACTGTTTGGTGCTCTTATCTGGCCTAGATGGGGGTTTGCTAGTCAAAGAAAGAGATCAGGTCAGAGGAGGGGGTAGAGGCGTCCTGAGTTCCTATCCCATCACTTCCCAGGGGTAGAAAGCTATCCAGAAACAGCTTTCCACTCACAGCTGGGCATGTGTTGGCTCAAACAATAGAATTTGATTTCGAGGAGTTACATCTCGTGAAGTAAATGCGGCGTTTCTGGGACTAAAAACTATCAAGAAAACCCAAGTTATCAGCAAAAAAGTAGCCCCAAAGTGAAGGCATTAATTCTCCCCATGGCCTTTTCTCCAACATACCCCTAACAAAGAGTCCTTCAAGAGATCCTGTCAGCCGGCCTAAGCAGCTGTGGCTGTCCTGTGCAGGGACCACCGCCTGGGTGTGGGACGGGGACCCCCGCCCCAGCTCCTGGGCCTCTTCTGGAAGTGGAGCAGAAAGCTCTGACTTAGGGATGCTACATGTTTCCTAGAAGAAGAGCCACACATTCTAACCCGGCTGGGGACCCACGCTTTTTACTTCCTTGTCCTGGAGCAGAGTCCCGCCGCCCCCAACACCACAGCTTGAACAGCTGTCCTCTGGCCACAAAGCTAACTGGCTCTTGTGCACACGAGCTGGGTCACGGACATGCCCAGGGGCTCATTTCTTGAGGAGGAGTGTAGTAGGGGAGAAAGAATTCAGCTTCAGAGAGCAGCCAACCTGAAATCTCGCCTCAGCTCTGCCTTAGAGCTGGGCAGCCCTGAGCACTACACCCCTACTCACTCTGAACCCCAGTTCCTTTCCTGAAAGGTAACAATACATGAATAAGTCCTACCAAGTTAATAGGTTATTGTGAGGATGAAGATAGATTAAGTGCGAGAGTTATCTGGGCACCGCGAGGGACGTGGTGGAGAGGGTGGCCGTGTCACTTAGGTCTATTGGGGCAGCCTCGTAGCTGAAAAAGAAGACAGATTCTAGTTTGTTCGGGGCTGCTGAGGTCACAAAGCAAAGGGGACATCCAGGCTGCGGAGGTGCTGCTTCTGCCAAGACAGAGACCATGACACCTGGGTGTGAGGCCCAAGGCACACCTGCTTCTCCTCAACCTAGCTGGAAGCTTCTGGTCAACTCTGGAAAAGGCACATTCCCCACCTCCATACAGTAATGACGCTGCCTGAATTGAAACTTAAAACTGAATTTTAAATATTTAACAAAAGTCCCTGATATTTCCTTTCAGGTAAGACTCCTTTGCAGATCCTTGCAAGTGATCCTACCACCAAGTCAGGCTTCTGGGAGCTTGATACACCCCCCAGAACAACACCCTGCATATAATTGGTGCTCAAAAAAAAAAAAAAAGTTTAGGGCTTCCCTGGTAGCGCAGTGGTTGGGAGTCCGCCTGCTGATGCAGGGGACACGGGTTCGTGCCCCGGTCCGGGAGGATCCCACGTGCCGCGGAGCAGCTGGGCCCGTGAGCCATGGCCGCTGAGCCTTCATGTCGGAGCCTGTGCTCCGCAACGGGAGAGGCCACAGCAGTGAGAGGCCCGCGTACCGCAAAAAATAAAAAAGTTTAATTCCACAAACTTTTATCAGACATCTATGTGCTAAGCGCCGGGGGCAGAGCTGAGGACCACCTCTCTGCCGTTAGGGAACCTGAAGATGACAGCACTGCATCGGTTGCCCTGATGGCAATCATGTCAAGTGCTAAGAAGACTGTGTTCAAAACAAAACTCCTATATTCTGACAAATGTGCGCACACGCACACGTGTGTGAGTGCTTGTGCGTTCCGACGTCATCCTAAAAAAGTCCTTACAGAGGCTGTTTCTTTTTGTTTCCTCTACCACCAGTAAAGGCTGCATTTGGACGTCCCGCCATGTTTCCTTTCTGCCTGGTTGAGTCATTTTTTGCTGCCAAGGCTCCTGGACCTTTTCTGGCAGCAGAGAGCTGGAAGAACTACCTGTGAGTGGGCAGGATGTGAGCCTGGGCCCGTTCAACCCCTTGCTTGTCCAGCCACTGGCTGTGTTGCTCTCTCTCTCTCTCACACACACACACACACACACACACAGATACGCACACGCGCGCACGTGCACGCACGTGCTATAATTGGCCAACTTCCTCCTCCTGTTCTTGGAATAGTAACCGAGACAAAAAGCAGTGAGCACGAGTGGCTTGGGCTCGCCAACACTATAATTCAGGACAAAACCCTTGTAATTCTCCAAATGGTGGGGTTTTTAAATAGGCTGGACTTCAACACCCTGTTTTCTAAAAAAGAAAAATAAAACCCTGCCCAAGGCATCGCTCTTCTAACCGACCAAGTGACCTCTGAGAGCCGGGTACCCAGAAGAGGTGGATTCTGAACTCAAGCCTTCCAAGAAGTCACATTTTTTAAACAATTAATTTAGGAGAGCCCTCCAGGGACATGTATTTGCCCACTCAAAGGCTTCTTTGTTTCGGTATCTTTAATCCTAAGGAAATCATTAAAATGCAGTCTCTTCATGGGAATTTCCACCCACGGACAACTGACCCTGAGCCAACTTCAGACCTCACGACGTGCCTCTGCCTACGAGCAGGGTGTGGACAGCTGTGAGGGGACAGGGGAGACAGACACGGTGGGGGAAGAGGGGCCCGCGTTTGCATAGTTCCTTTACAGGGCTGGGGTCCCCACTCAGGAGAGGGCCCAGGGGTGAAGGGTGGGGAGGCGGGGAGGGGTCCCTGTGAGCATCTCAGGCCTTACACCTCCACACATCCCTTGCCCTGGGCCATCCAGGAGAAGCACGCCCGTCACAGGCCTGCGCCCCCTCTGCGCCCCCTCCTCAGGGTGAGGACATCATAAATTGTAGGCACCAGGGAGCAGGAATGCCCTCCTCAGCAAGCTTCTTTATATGCTCCCCAGGGGGAAAGTGGCCCAGGGCTGTGTTGGGACAGACTTGTGGGCAAGTGCCTGGTGATGCTGGGAGCAGGGTACACTGTGTTTCCTAAACATGGCAGCTTGGGACACCACAACCAGGGCGCCTCCCTCCATCCGACCTCTAGAGAAGAGGCAGTGAGGGCGCCCTAGAGTTTCAATTTCCCCTCCTTGACTAGTCTATCATTGAGCTGGCAGAGCTGGGCCAGGAAACCATCGTTGGGGCCGATCTCACGGTTCTGCCTGACGATGCTCAGGGCAGACTTGACATCCATCTTCTGACGCATCATGAGATACGCGATGACGAGAGTCGGGGAGCGGCTGTAACCCTCACGGCAGTGGACGAGCACTCGGCCTGTGAAAGATAGGGACACAGTGAGCTGGGGCCGTCCCGTCACACCTCGACTCCAGTCAAAGCCCTTCCAGGGGGCTTCCCTGGTGGCGCAGTGGTTGAGAGTCCGCCTGCCGATGCAGGGGACGCGGGTTCGTGCCCCGGTCCGGGAAGATCCCACATGCCGCGGAGCGGCTGGGCCCGTGAGCCATGGCCGCTGAGCCTGTGCGTCCGGAGCCTGTGCTCCGCAACGGGAGAGGCCACAACAGTGAGAGGCCCGCGTACCGCAAAAAACAACAACAACAAAAAAAACCCTTCCAGGAAATATAAATGAAAATTATAATGCGAGGCCACTGTGTGCCCACCAGAATGGCTAAGATGAAAAAGATAAATACAAAACACACAGCATTAGTGAGAATGTGGAGCAGCTAGGACTTTGATCTGTGGCTCGGGGACGGGGTGTAAACTGGCGCACAGCTTCGGAAAGCCGTGTGGCAGGATCTACTCAAGCTGAACACATGCGTTCCCCAGGGCCTGGCAGTTCCATCCCAGACCCATGGCCAGCAGGGGTACACGCACACGTCTGCTAAAAGACTGCAGGCAGCACTGTTCACGGTAGCCCCAAGCTGGACACTCCCAAAGGCCCGTCAACAGCAGAGTAGATAAATACTAAGGACGAGCAATCTCCAGCTTCCCAGATACAGCATGGAAGAAACACACAAACAGGATGTGTGCGATCCCGTAGGGTAGAAGAGCCAGGGGACTCCCCTGGTGGTCCAGTGGTTAGGACTCCACGCTGCCACTGCAGGGGAACTAAGATCCCGCGTGCCGCAAAGTGTGGCCAAGAACAAAAACAAAACTTTAACAACAACAAAAAAGAGGCAGCAACACTGAACTACGCTGTTAGAAGTCTGGATACTGGTATGCGAGGCGGGAGATGTGACACTGGGAGGGAATACGTCGGGGGGTTTCTGGGGTGCTGGTCATGCTTTCTTTCTTGATCTGGGGGCTGGTACATGGGTGTGTGCAGCGCACTGATACACTGTGATATGGGTACTTCTCTATGTGAATCTTCTATTTCAAGCAAAAGCAAAAGATGACAACCACCCAAATGTCCATCAACAGGTAAATGGATAAACAAACTGTGGTATGTCCATCCAACAGAAGGCTACTCAGCGTTAAAAGGGCATTCCTGATACGTGCAACAGCGCGGAAGAAACTGAAAGTAATGATGCTGAGTGAAAGAGGCCAGACCAAAAATGCGGACATACCGTGCAACTTCATTGATATGAAAGTCTACAAGATGTGCACTAACGTCTAGTGATAGAAAGCAGATCGGTGGTTGCTGAGGAACAGAGGGAAGAGAGGGGTGGAAGGGAGAGGTCACAAAGGGACATGAGGGAAATCTGCGGGGTGATGGATACGCTCATGATCTTGGTTGTGGTCATGGCTTCACAGATGCATACATATGTCAAAACTTACCAAACCCAACTGTGTGTAGTTTACTGAACGTCAGTTATGCCGCAATAAAGCCATTTAAAAAATAAAAGGTACGTGCGTGTCAAATAAAAACACAAGAAATCAAAACAAACACACAAACAGGGCTTCCCTGGTGGCGCAGTGGTTGAGAGTCCGCCTGCCGATGCAGGGGACGCGGGTTCGTGCCCCGGTCCGGGAAGATCCCACATGCTGCAGAGCGTCTGGGCCCGTGAGCCATGGCCGCTGAGCCTGCGCGTCCGGAGCCTGTGCTCCGCAACGGGAGAGGCCCGCGTACCGCAAAAACAAACAAACAAAAAAAACCACACAAACAAAAACACCCTCTCGTGGTCCCCCAAATGTCCCACGAGGCTCTACTAAATCTGCCCCTCCCCCCGCCACTGACGTCATCCCCTCCTCCCTCTCCTCCCTCCCTCCAGCCGTCTGGCAACACCAGCCCGCTACCCATACTCCTTCATCCCCTTCTCCCTGCTTTGGTCCCCCCACCCCCTGACGGGCCACATATCTTTTTCACTTGTTTGCTGTCATCTTCCCCCAAAACATAAGCTCCACGAGGGCAGGGATGTCCGTCTGTTTTGCTCCCTGCTGCATCCCCAGCGTTGGGTGAAAGAAGGAAGGGATGGTCAGGAGAGGTCAGAACCTTGTCAACAAGGTTCTTGTAGCCTGAGCTACAAGCCTCGGCTTCTCTTATCCCCACCCCCTCCTCACACAGAGTGCTCAGTTCAGGTCCCTGTCACCTCCCACCTCTGCCCCCTCACCTCCAAACTGAGTTCTCACTCTATCTTCACCACCACCAACCCCCACTCCAGCTGGAGGCAGCTTTCTAAAATATAAAAACGTGACCTGCCACCATTAGCCGGGTAGTCTAGTCCCCAAGGTGTGACATACCAGGCCAACCGCCCACGGCCCCGACACCTTTCCAGGCTTTTTCTCAGCCTTTGCACATGTTTTTCCATCTACCTGGCACATCCTCTCCCTCTTGGCTACTTGGCAAACTCCTGCTCATACCTTAAGACCCCAGCTCAAGTATTTCTTTGTCAGCATCGGGACTTAGAACCCAAATCTTTGAAGTCATGTGAATCTGGGTTTAAATTTTAACTTGCTGGTTGTGAGGGTTAAACTTGTCCACTTGGCTTGTCTATGATGCCCAGTTGCTTGGTGAAACACTAGTCTCGAAGAGAGTTTGTAGATGTAATGAATATCTCCCATCACTTGACTTTAAATAAAGGAGATCACCCTTGATAAGGTGGGTGGGCCTCATCCAATCAGTTAAAGATCTTAAGAGCAAAAAACTGACGCTTCCTGGAGAAGGAATTCTACCTCCAGAAGTCCTGCCCGCGTTTCCAGCTGCAGGTCTGCCTGACAGGTTTCAGATTTGCCAGCCCCTATGATTACGTGAGCCAATTCTCTGAAATAAATAATAGCTATATTCTACTGGTTCTGTTCTTCCGGAGCACTCTGGCCAATACACTGGTTATTACTCTATGACCCACCTAAGCCCACTGTGCCTCAGTTTCCTTGTCTGTTCTAATAGTACTCATGGCACAAGGTGGTTGGAAGATTAAAGGAAGTGACATAAAACCCTTAGGCTAGGGACTTACCTGGTGGCGCAGTGGTTAAGAATCCTCCTGCCAATGCAGGGGACACGGGTTCGATCCCTGGTCCGGGAAGATCCCACATGCCGCGGAGCAACTAAGCCCGTGCACCACAACTACTGAGCCTGCGCTCTAGAGCCCACGAGCCACAACTACTGAGCCCGCGTGCCACAGCTACTGAAGCCTGCGCACCTAGAGCCCATGCTTCACAACGAGAAGCCACCGCAATGAGAAGCTTGCGCACTGCAATGAAGAGTAGCCCCCCCTCGCCACAACTAGAGAAAGCCCGTGCGCAGCAATGAAGACCCAACGCAGCCAAATAAATTAATTTAAAAAAGAAAGACTTAGGCTAGTGCCTGGCAGATGGGAACATTCAATAAATAAATATTAGCCAACACGACGAGTCCTCTGCTGGCACCTGGTACATCCTCTTCTACAGCAGCCTGGCTCTGTGTTAGCATCGGCCACACAAAGACCGACCCTCCTCTGCCAGAGTGTGAGTTCCTTAAGGGTAAGGACTGTGGGGTACTGATTTTAGATGCCTTACAGTCTCCAGCATACAGTAGGTGCTCAATAAATATTTGCTGACCAGCTGAGTGAATGAATACCCACCAACATCTCTACACGGGCATTATTCTGAAGGAAATCTGCTGGCCCAGAATCAAACAGAGTGTCTTCCGTTCCCATTACCCTATCCCCAAAACACAACCCTATTTTCCCAATGCTGATGAGCAGGAATGGGGAGTCCTCCACTTTCCTGCCCATTCACTCTCTGGCCAGTGGACCCAAAGTATTCAGAGTGGGGCTTTCCCTGCCCCCGCCCTGGCAACGGGACCCTCTGCAGAGCAGCTGCCTCACCACCTGGAACCAGGAACAGACTCAGCATGCCCAGGGCTCATAGAGCCAGTGTGGAAGGGGAGGGTTCAAAGCCCAGCCTTCCAGGCCCCGCCCAGATGCCACCTCCTCCACGAAGCCTCCCTTGATCTTCCCAGACGGAAGTGACTGCTTCCTTCTCTGAGTGCCCCTGGCCACTCCCCTCCTCTCCCCTCTCCAAAGTGATGGGACCCCAGCTCCCCCGAGCCCGGCACAGTGTTGGAGGCCAGCGCATTTCTGTTGACTCACTTGGCCAGTCAATCCTGGAAGCATTTACACTGGGCATTAGAACCCTTGGAATTCCTTTTTGTCACTGGTTCAGTAATCCAGTGTACCTGCTATGTGCCTGATCTACGCCAGGTGCTAGGGAGACCAGACAAGGGACAAAGCAGACCCAGCCTGAGGGCAGGCTTCATGGAAGAGAGGACACTATGCCCAGTACTCAAGCACGAGGTGGAGTCTGCCAGAGACAGGGCAGGGAGCGGCAGAGAGAGCCTTCCAGACTCATGACCCAACCCACGCGGGCTAAGGCAGGAGGTCACACAAAGTCAGGGTATGTTCCTAGTTGTCTGGAAAGAGGAAACCATCAGAGGGCTCTAAGTTCCCTGAATGGATGACCTGTCAACACACAGGAAGAGCGAAATCCATCCCCTTAACTGGGCCCCTCGGTCTCGTCTATACAGGAGCTCAGAACAGCTGCAGAGGAGGTGGGTAAGGTGTACAAGGCAGTGGAGGACCACGAAGGGCCTGATGATAAAGTCTGCAGATTCCCCAGGCAATAAATCTTCCCTTCTGGGCCCCAAACGTGCGCTAACCAGCGGCTAGTAAACTCTGTTCCCTGGAAATCATTCCAGTGGGGAGGCTGCTGGGACAAGAAGCATCAGGGTAGCAGAGACAGGCTAGAATCAGGAGAACAGGGCTGATGACGCCTCAGTGGGGGTCACTCCGCCCGGGAAGGTTTGGGGTGGGGAGGAAGGAAGAGGCTGGAGGAAGCGGCAGGAAGGTAAAGGCAGTTGCTGAGAGAAACAAGCTAAAAGCAGAAAGGGCAAGCGGCCCAGCCTGCTCAGCGGCTGTCCACCCTCTGGCCTTCTAGGATTTCTCTCTGGCACGCCTCGCCCCACTGCCAGCACCTCAGCAGTTCTGCTTCGGTCTCACCTTATATTTGGGAGTTGCAGGAAGCATTTAAAAACTGGGCCAAAGTTTGCTGACTTTGGGCCTGAGCCGATCACGACTGACCCCCCTCCCCTTGGCAGGTATTCATGTGACCCAACTGTAGCCAGTGAGATGTGAGGGGGGGCTCCACTGGGGGGTTTCCAGGGAATGTTTCACTTGCTCTTAAGAAAAGAGAGAAACATGAGGAAGAGAGGGCTGCCTCATTTTTGCTGCACTTGGTCCTGTCGGGAGGTGGTAACCAGATCGGCTGCAGCCATCTTGGGACCATCAGGGGAGTGCCCACCACGAAGGGTGGCAGAAGAGTCCTGAAGCCACCACAGAGCCGCTGAATCAGCAAGCCCTGGAGCCCCTTCGCCTCAGGATTTCTTATCACGGAAAAGAATAGATCTTCATTATTGCAGCTATCTGAATGGGGGGAGGGGCTGGCAACTGACTCCCAGCCAAAGTCAGATCCAACACAGGGAGCCCGGGGCTGCCACTGTGTGATGGGTTCGTACATCTCGTGTCATGTGAAGCCACTTGACGGGCAGCCAGCTGAGCAGAGAGAGACCCGAAGCTCTCAGTCATTCAGCACAAGACACAGGAACCAACAGGTTTTCCAAGAAGAGGCCTGTCGTGGGCCTGTTTTCTAGAGGAAGTCCTGTCAAAGGTGCCTCCCATAGTTTCTTGGGTGGCAGGTCCCTTACCGTTCTTCTGAGCCAGGGCCTGGTCGATGAAGTCTGCCGCCCTTTCAAAGTAGGCGCTGAGGTTGAACTCCTGTGTGTCGTTGGCCTTGATGCCCAGGTAGGTGATGCCAGAGTCCTTGTAGAAGTTGGCACTGGTATTGACGTGCATGAAGGACCTGCCCTCGGCCGCATTCAGGACATGGGTGATGCCCAGTTTCTGCAGCTTGGGGATGTCTTGAGCCACAGACCTGGACAGGAGACAGCAGCAGGGGGGTGATCAACTGACCACCTGGCAGCCCTCAGGGGAGAAAGATGGACAAGATCCCAAGCCTCTTGGCCCAGCAAGGACCCTCCATGCTCTGGCCCCTGACTACTTCTCCAGCCCCAGCTTATGACCCTCTGCCCTCACTCCAGCCAGATCTAATTACCTGCCCCAAATAGCCTGGGCACTTTCATGCCCAGGCTGTTCCCTCTACCTGGAATGCCCTTCTCCACCACCTTCATGGAAACGTACCCTCTCATTTCTCACCACCCTTGGCAGTATTTCCTGATCTCCCCTCCATTCAGCATTGTGCTCCCTATACTGTGGTGGTGGTATCACCACGGGGCTAAAATGGGCTCTGGAGCCAGACTGCCCGGGTCTGATTCCAGCCCTGCCACTTACCAGCCAGACAACCTTGAACAAGCCACTAAACCTTTCTGTGCCTCAGTTTCCCCATCTGTAAAATGGGGGTGATAACAGTACCTACCCCTGGAGTTGTTTTGAGTGTCCAATGAGCTGTTCTATAGACAGAACCTGACGCCGTGGTCACTGCCACTATCCTAATGCTTGATGGTGCTTATTTGTTTAGCTGTCCAGGCTGTGAGCTCCTTGAGGGAGGAACCATGCCTACTTCATGTCTGTATGCCCAGCACGTGCTACGGAACCTGGCACACAGTAGGTGCTGAATGTGTGGTGAATCAGTGAAGAATGAAATCAGCACATCCCAGGCGGCCTTCTTCCTTGGATTCTAAAGTGCAGCAGCTCCCTCCCATCCCCCAGAGGGATCCTTTCTGCCATAGTCCACTAGCCACATCTCTGAAGCTCTCTTGGGTGAGTAAGCACTTGGGGAGCAAGTGGCCTCAACAGAACTCTGGGGGTTACAAAACATTCGATCTGAATAGTCAAAGGGCTCCTTTATTTCATCTCACAACAACGTCCCAATTCAAACAGCAGTTTATACTTTACAGAACGCCTTCTCCTGCGTGATCTTGTTTGCCTGTCACAGCAGCCCGGGGAGGAAGGACAGAGCTTAAGCTCTGGCCCGACATGACAGCGGAAGGATGTGCATGTGCTCACATGGGCTGCTGCGCAGCAGGGTTGGGAGAAGGCCTCCTTCCTCCTCACGCCAGCCCTGCTGTCCTCCTCCTCACCCTGCCTCTCATGCCCATATCAACTGCAAATCTCAAGAGGCAGAAACCGTGGCTCCTCCAGGCTCCTCTCTGCCCCGTGAGCCCTGATCAGGAGCCCTGATTTTCTTAAGGCGCGCCCAACTGCGCGGGGGAGGGGGGATCGGTACTCAGTCCATCCTCCCTGCTGAGCGCCCCCCACACCCCCAGCTCTGTCAAGCGCAGAGTTACTTGTTCACAGCCTTAGTTTTCACTTAGGAAGCAGTGACGGCGCAATGTGCCAAGCCGCCCAAGAGAGCAGGTTTCCGAGAAGGCCAAGGCCACTTGCTGCTTGGGTGGCTGGAGAGGGGCTTATCCTCAGAACTTGGCAATTACCGAGGCCTTTGGCTGAGCTTCTAGGACCTGTTTTAGCTATCACGACACTGCACACAATTGTAAAGCAGTGGTCATTAAAAAGGCACTAAAATAACTAACTTTGAAGAGTCACTACCATTCATCTTCCTTCTCTAAGTCAACATTCAACAACTTTACCATTATCATTGTCATCAATACTGTGAATACTTGTTCAACATCTGTCACATAGTGATGCTTCAAGTGGTGAATGAGTGATGGATGGATGAGACAAGCCCCCACGAGGCCCAGCCTGCCTGCCAGACCCCCTGGCTCCGTGATGGCCCCCATTTCTGTGGCAGTCCTATGCCAGGACCTGGGATACAGACATGAACAAGACATTGACCCTGTCTTCACAATCCCTACAGTGCTCTGGGCCATCATTTCTTCCTGTGTAAAAGGAGAGAACCGGATTAGACATGCAGTCCCTGGGCCCACGGAGCTTAGGGCCTTGGTAACTGGGTCTCAGAAAATCCAACCTACACCCTCCCAAGGCTGTACAGGCATGGGAATCTATTTTTTTTTTTTGCTTTTGGCTGGTATTTCAGCAACTCTCTGAATGGTTAACACTGGTTTTCTCCTGCTGCTGAGAAATTCTTACTGGTAGTTTGACTATGAGAAAATCAATTTGGTAAGAACTCCTCAGTGATAAATAATAAATGCACTTCCTGGTGGTGAGAAGGTCGGCAGCCTTTTCTAAGTGATGGCTCAGGTCCTTAGGGGGGCGTTATTATTGGATCGTTCTAGAATTCTAGATAAATCAAACCCTAACTGGAAGGCAGGGGGAGGAGCGAGGAAGCCCGGGCCCATGTCTCTGGACCCCTAGTTTGCGATATTTCAATTCCCACATCTGGGCCTGCCCGGCCGGGAAAGTTCCACGCCCGAATTGTGACGTCATCCCGTTGCCATGGCAGCGAAGGCAGACATTCCGCGGTGACCTCACTGCAGAACCAGGCAGCTGTCACATGACGAGCGGGCCGGAGACCGGCCGGGGGACAGAGGGCCACCTGTTAAGTGAACCTGGTAGCCCCGACACGGCCCAAGGCCGAGCCCCTAGAGGGTTGTGGCTTCGGGCCTGACGCCCGGCTGCCCGAGCTGCGCCCGGGTCTCCGCCACCCAGCGAAGGGAAGAACAGAGCTGGGGCGGGGCGGGGCGGGGTTCAGCCCCTCCGCCCTAAGCGCGAGGGTGGGCGGTGACTCCAGCCCCCGCCCAGCCCCCGCCCAGCCCCCGCCTCGGCTTCCGGAGGAACGACCCCGCCCTGGCTCCCCCCACCCGCGGCCGCCGACGCCCCCACCCCCAGCCCTCGGGTGGGCGGGGCAACCCGGGGAGGGGCCTTTGGGCTGTCTCGGGGCCCAGGAGCGGCGACTCACGCGTTGCCCACGTAGATCCTGGGGGTGACCTCGTTGCAGGGCTGGCTCGGGAGGCTGTAGCAGCCGCTGCCGTCCGACAGCAGGTCGTTGAGATCCTGCACCGAGAGCTCAAACGGCCCCGACATGGCGGCAGCCGGGCCCTGCACGCCCGGGCAGCAGCAAGCTAAGGGAGAGCGGCCGGGTCAGCTGGGCGGGCGCTCCGGAGCCGGGACCCGCCCCGTCCCGCCCCGGAGGCGGGCCCGCCGGGCACGGGAAGCGGCGGAGCGCCGGCGGCCAGGCGCGCTGCGCTCCCGAGAAGTATGCGCGCCGCCAGGCGCCAGGCGTACACGGGGGCAGACCTCTGGGCCTGAGTTAGGGGGCTGAGATGCCGCTACTCCGGAGTTTTGGGGGGTCCTCTTCCCACCCCCCGTTAAGGCATGGAAGTGCAGTAACTTCACTGGACTAAATGCAGGGCGCAATAAAAGTTTCTCTTGACCGGGGTACACCCTAGTGTCGCTGAATTTTCTCAGGATTACAGGGACACCCGGGTTCCGTTTGTGAGCTCTGCCTGCTGCGGACCAGCAACGTTGGCATCACCCGGGAGCTGGTCAGAAATGCAGAATCTCCGCCCCAGCTCAGACCTGCTGAGTGAGAATGTGCCTTTTATACGCCCTGCTGGGGATCCCTACGAAGGTTGAAAGTTTGAGAAGCCCAACTCGGGGGCACATTTCTTCCAGCCTTCAGTGAGAGTTGGCATCGTGCTTAAAGCTTGGGCTCTATGCAAGCAAGCATGGCATTCTGGCCCTGGGCAATGACTTAACCTCTCTGAGCCCGTTTACTGCAAAAATGAGGGTAATAAGAGCACCTAACTCCTAGGGTGGTTTGAAAGATCAACATGCCAGGAAAGCGCCCAGCTCTACATAGTGAGCACTGGATAGGCGTTCTCCCTCTCTTGATCAGCAAACGCGTAGCGCACCCACTAGGTGCTACACCCTGTGCTAGTGTGGACGCGAATCCCTCTCCTTTGCAGCCCTTCCTGGAGCAGCTGCCAGCCCACTGTGAGCCACACGATGTCAGCAACTCATCATTTACTGAGGTCCAGCTGCCAGCAAAAGACCGTCTCTGTTCTCCTCCACTGCCATGAAAATGGCAGCTACCACCTCTCCAAAAAGCACCTGTGGTCCTGGGAATTCAGGAAACCCACATCCTGAGCCCAGTTCTGCCGCTAACTTGTTCTACAGAAGTTTGGCTGTTGCTCTGGACTTCAGTTTCCTCATCTGCAAAATGAAGAAATCGGATCAAATTATCGTTAAGGTCTTTTACTTCTGCAAACAGCTGTAGTCTCACACCTTCAGGGAAACCATTGCAGTGGAGACTAAACTTAGAGCCCAAGGTGTGTAACCAAGGCTGGATGTCTCCCCATCCCACCCCGTGCCTTCCCACCCCTCCCAGACACCACACCTTTTCCTGCTGCTGTTGGTGGTACCTGCATTCCAGACAGCTGGGAAAGCTTCTGAGCCTCTGCCTTCATCTTGACTGGGTTAGCTCTCAAAAGAGAAGCCCAGGGACGGCCAGGCATGCTCTGGGGCTCCTCCTTCTTCCGGGGGACCTGTCCCTGATGTCATAACTGGGTAACTGACAACCCGTCATGGGGACAGCTAAGTACCTCACAGAGGAGCCTGGGTGCCTCATTTCTGAAGTGAGACTAGGAAGAGAAGATGAACAATTCCCCGGATTATCTAGCCTACCCTGTGATCGTCTCTAATCATAGACAGAGCACATCATTCAGGAGGAAACTGGACTTTGGCCACTACGTATTTCATCAGAATAGACTACAAATAGGTACGTGGGGCAATTTGAACGGGACACTGCGATTAGGGTTCTGGAAGGGCCCACCTTAGAGATATTGACGGTCAACCAGACCAGTACATGGCTTTGCAAATTTATCTTCCACCAGGGAGTTCATTTGATGGATATGCTCATTTAAACTCTTTAAAGCCAAAGTAAGGTAGACAGAGGATAGGGCTGCAGCATCCAGTAGCCAGGCTAGTCGTACTGGGAAAGGGTGGGAGAGAGGTTTCTTTCATTAGATTCTAAGGATATTTATGTCTGTAAATTTTACTTTTTACAGCCCTCACCATTCTCTCGTGTCTGCTCAAAACTCTCCAAAAGATGTCAGTTTGGGAAACTCAACTAAACCAAAATTCCTGACCTGGATTAGTTCAGAATTCAAACTTGTAATGTTTTAATCAGGGCCGTTGTCTAGAATGTGAGCAGATTTTCTAAGGCTACTAAGAGGACACCTGTGATGTAACATTGCTCTCTTTCCCCCCTCTCTAGTGAAGCCTACTGTTGATACCAAGCTTCCAGTGGTGCACACACATCACATTTTAAAACTGAGCAAACTACAGGTACTTGTTCCTGCCATTATTGATTTTATCTATGTCCTAAAGAGGGCCAGTTTCCCAGAGCTTTCTAAATACCCACCTCACCAAAGATTCGTTCACCCTTCTCCTCCCCATACACACCACCCCTGGATTCCTCAGCTTCTCTCCCAGTCTCCACTGTGGCCCCCAATATGCCCCTTTCGCACAATCCCAGAGGAGGGGGATGCTCAGCGATTGTGGGATGGAGTGCCATGTAGCAATGACGTCACCATGATGGGGTGGGGTTTCTCACCAGGGTGAACAAAAGAAATTCGATAAAATCGAATATGAAAACAAGCAACTGTGTCAGAAGATTGCCAACGCCCACCGCGGCCCCGCCAAGGTGGATTGCTGGAACGAATATTTCTCTAAGAGGTAGTGTTCTTTCTCTTCAGTTCATTTTCCAAAAGTCAAAATTGACTTCACCCTTTTTGGGTTTTAGTGCCAGAGGAATTCTCAAGGAAAGTTATCTTGAGGGATAACCAAAGAGACCAAGTTAAGGAGAAAGAAAACCACCCCGAACAGGGACCTTTCTCTAGCGTTAAAGAGCTTTTTTTCCCTCTAAGAGACTCTTCAGGGTCCTGTTTAGAGTTTGACACAAGAAAGCACTTTTGTAAAATGGTGACCATGGCTGGGACTAGAGCACTCTTAAAATCGTTTCCGCAAATATTTCCTGAACTACCACGTGCTAAGCACCAGGACTATAGAGGTGAAACGAGAAGTGTATTTCCTAACTCCAAAGAACCCAATGTCAGGTAAGGGGGACATTTATGTAAATAGTTATGCAGTGTGATCAGGGCTCCAAAGGAGTGTCTGCAGGGAAAGAAGAGTGGGGTGTGTGTGTGTGTGTGTGTGTGTGTGTGTGTGT